AGCAGCATGTTTTTAAACTACTTTCTAATTTATAATCCAACTTAAGACACTATGATGCAATGTCTCTTATACTGGCAAAAGGTAGTGGCATGGTTACAGCTAACCATACAGCACTTAACAATTGTATGACAGATCCACTGATTACCTCCCTCCGACCAATTAGATCACACAGATTGGGCCTCCTCCGAATCCCATCCGCCAGTCAATGCCGACTGGCGACTACGCGGATGAGAGCCTTTTCAGTAGCAGCTCCGACCCTGTGGAACGACCTCCCCGTTGAGATTCGCACCCTCACCACCGTCCAGACCCTCCGCACAGCCCTCAAGATCTGGCTATCCCGTCAGGCCTGGGGATAAGTTTCTAATTCACCCCGCCCGAGTGTTGAATGCTGAATGAAAGTTGTGTTTTTTACTGTTTATTTTAGTCACATACTGTTTTTGTTTTATATTGCACTCCCCCTTTCCCTACGAATGTAAGCCGCCCTGAGTCCCCTCAGGGAAAAGGGCAGCCTATAAATCCCAATAAATACAAATACAAATATGCTGCCTTCCAAGTGTCACCAAAACATATCTACTGTAATAAATATTGAAGGATACTGTTCAATAACTTCTGGATAGCCTCTAGTTCCCCAAAACAATAGCATTTAGACTTATATACTACTTCACAGTGCTTTACAGTCAGCATATTGCCCCCAACAATCTGGGTCCTCGTTTTGCCAATCTCGTAAAACCTTGAGCCGGTCAATGTTAACCAACCAATGTTAATCAATACTTTATCCTTCTCCAGCAATGATTCTGAGACATCAGGGCTAACCTTTCCCATAACAATGAAAGTTACCAATTGCTAGTGGACTATTACTAAGTCTCTGTATACAGGTGGTTCTTAGCTTACTGTATAGACATTTGCTTAGTTCGCATTCGAAGTTATGATGAAAGATGAAAGATGAAAGAAGTGACTAATGACAAATCCCTGTACTTAAAGTTATCACTCAATTCTCAAGATCATGTGATCAAAATTCAGGCACTTGGCAATCAGCATATAGTTATGACTGTCATCGGGTCATGTGATTGCCTTTGCGATCTTCCCAGGCAGTTTCCAAAAGCAAAGTCAATGGAGAAAGCTGAATTTGCTTAACAACTAAGGAAAAAATGGTCATAAAATCAGGTGTGACTCACTTAACGACCACCTTGCTTAGCAATGGGAGTTCCTCTTCCAATTGTGGTCATAAGTCAAGGACTGCAACCAACTTCCCCTTTACTAGATTAAGAGGGAGGGATAGATACATCTTTAGTGTGGTTCCTAGAATATTCAAACGCATTACCTCAACAATCTTCACAAAAAGTCCTTTCAATTATTATTCCCATGGTACATAAACAGGAGAAGCTGAGAGAGAGCCTCTTAATTAAAATGGCTTGCTGGTGAACTTAGTTGAATGATGGACATATCATCGTTCACCACTTTATCTCCTCACTCAGTGATCACACAGTGTATTCATTTCACACTGATGAAAAATCACAAACATAGAAAAATTGCACTGCTGGTTTGCTAAAGAAAAATGGACATTACTTCAGATTTACAAAGTTTACTTTGGGTTGTTTTATTTATTTTTAAACAAAATACCCAAGACCCGGGTACAAAACACATGTACTTAAAAAGAAGAATTTTGCGTCCACAAATTGATTACAGAACTGAATTCTGTTTAACTTCCTTCCACATACTCAAAAAATGTGTTTCTGATTATTTCCAACTTTGTTCACTGTAGTTTAAAGTATGCAGAGTCAATTTTGTTTCTGCAAATCAGAAATTCTCTTCCAGAGGTCCACTTCTACTACCATTTCTCAAGCTTAATGCCATTTCAAGCACAGTAACAATTTTCAGTGGGTGCAAAGCTCTATAAACTTTGCTGGATGGTGCAAAGCTACACAAAGCATGATGATCCTTCACTTCTCAGATCATCTCTTGCTCCCTTCTCCTTAGATATGAGCAAAGATATGAACAGTAATCATGATCTTTTCTAAGAACTGCCTGATTTAATCAGATCAGACTTCTGTGCTTGCATTTTGTTCTCAAAAGCAATAAGATCTTAAGCCCAGAGAATGACAGTAGAATGAGCAAGTGGGTTTCTTACTCTTTAATTGTATTATTACCAAAAAATGTATCTTTCATTTGATTTAGAAGTTGCAAGCTACTCTTTTTGTAAATCAGACTACAGATGATTTAACTTCCTGGCCTGACTTTAGACAACTTTCTTCTTACTCATAGATACTGGCTGCTGTTCTAAACAGAAATTATTTAAATTGCTTATCCCCACTGGCCTGGAGCTCAAAAAACACTGTAGGCTGTCAGCCAGATGTCCAGGTAAAAACAATTCCTTTCCACTCTACAAATACTATAAGTATTGGTGGTAAATCATATTTGATTTCATGAATTTGCTTTGCAATGTTTCTTCGAATGCAATAAATTTTACAATTCTAAAATCCTGTTTATTTTTAATTATTAATATATTATTAAAAAGATATCCCCAATAAAGAGTACCCTTGCTATTAATGCAACAGTAATCTGGGTTAACACATGCAACAGGATCTGTTATTTTTTCTTTAAATTACTCTTTCTTTCCAAATATATTTCTGGCTCACTCATCTTTGGAAAGCGTCACCTTAAACTCAAAATTGTGGCTGGGGTATTCATGCACCATTGGTTATCATGATTACACTTCTGCAAATGTTTGCATACTCAGAAGTGGTTTCCATGGTGAAAAAGAAACCTTGAAAAATTACCTATGAACTGGCCTAGGTGAATAATTGTAGTGCTTTTTTCCTTGGTAAAGCTCCACAATAAATTTAATCCCTTAGATACTTTGGGTTGAAGTTAAGAACTCCCACCAAAGCAGCCAATATATGCACAAAATTATTGGAAATTATTTTATATCTGGCCAAATATAGAGTGAGTTCATGCATTATACTAAGTCATAATATGTTTTGTTTAGTTTGGCCTTATCATTCTGGATAAAGTCAGTCCCTGTGGTTTGCAAAATATGCAGGCTTCAGTATATCGCGGTATAACAAACCAGTGATTGTGCTTATGCATCTAGTCATATTTTGGCTAAATATGTGTTAACCCAGATTATTTATTAGTTTACTCAGTGTTGTCTTTCCTGACTTGAAATAGCATTCTCAAACCTCAGGTATGCATATTGCTTTTTCTATGTGCCATTCTCTGCTCCTTTTTGCCTTGGTTCCACCTATGCTCTGCCATAAGTTGTGGTTTTGTTTTTGACACCTCAAGCATTGAAACAAGGTGCAGACCTGTAAAGGTCTGTGAGCACAGCCTAAGCACACAAGTCACAATATAGATAGCTTTCAGTGTGCCTAACTAACAAAAAATAATTTGGCTAGTTAGGACCACATTTGAAGCTCTACCAAACATGTAGAAGAAAACGGAAATCTTCAGTAGATAGGCAGTTTGGTCTAAGCATACTGGGGTGAAGAGACTATAAACTGGAGACAAAGCAGACTGAAAACATTCTTGATCCATTTCCCACCAACCTTCTGGGGTACTAGCTCTCTCCCCAAAATATTTCCTTTCCCATCACTATTAGGCCCCAAGATTATCTCACCCATGCACTGGTTCCCAGAACTGGGAAAACAGCTGTTGGGGATCTGTAATAAAGAAGTACCAAATGAGGAGGAAGAAAAAATGTTTCTGTTCTGCCTCCAAAGTACTCATTTGAGACAATTTATGTCTCTTCCAGAAATTTGTTCCTTTAAAAAAAAATACTGAATGAAAACTAACTCCACCTCCGGATCAATCTTCTTGTAATTTTTTTTCAACAGGACTTCAGTTTTTCACCTTCCCCTGAATCATAGTTTTATCTACATCCTGAAGGGCTTAAAACTATTCTGCTTAAACCATCCAACTTAGTTCAACGAAAAGAATAGCCCCGACAAGGCTCAGTGGTGAGATCACCAGAGTAAAATCCAGCTTTTCAAATGCTTGATTTATCCCACTCTTCCAAAACAGAAAAGTATTTTTTTCTACCTGAATGTAATCAATAAACTTGATGTTATTAAGGGACAGGGGAGGAAAACACAAAGCCAAATGAAAAACAAGGCAAAACCCAGCATTAAATCAAATCAGACAGCATGATGTTTTTTTTTGGGGGGGGGGGCAGACTCTAGATCCATGAGCTCACTGCCCTCTGAAGCCAGTCATTATCTTTCTGCTCAATCTACCTCATAGGGTTGTTGTTGGAAGAGACAGAAAGAAGAAAAGTCGTAAAGCATGCCATCTTGAGCTTCCAAAGTACAGACAGAATATAAAGGCAACAGACAAGTAATAAATATAAGTTATATTAGAGTTTATCTGATATTAAAGATGTAGAAACACAAAGAGATATTGGTTGCTAATCACCATAATGTGAAGAAAGCGCTTCAAACCAGTTCAAAAATTATACTTCTGTATTCCGTGTTAATTAATCCGTGGTAATTTCTAGTTCCCTATTCAGAACTAGAAAAGATAGTCTGGGCTTCATCTTTTCATTCATATAAGGCTGTTCTGAGGGGGGGGGAAGGGGGGGATCCATTTATTTGACTATTTTGATGAAAGAGCAGTATTGCTACCATCCGCTTGAGCCTGTTCCATCATTAGCCTTTACTTACGATTAAACATGGTTAATTAATCTTCGGCGGTATATTGCGCCAAGATAATAACTCCCTCCAATTCCCTTAGGAGGTAATGGTTTCTTACAACAGCCGAGCCTAGACCACCCGCCCCGCGTCTCCATTCCACACCAACGATGTCCCACAGCTCTTGTCCAGCGCTCGTCTCAGTCCTTGAAGGTGACCAGGCAGAATTCCTTTCCCATGTCTGTCCTCCCCACAACAAGGCATCACAATGCCCACCTCTTTGCGATAGCCAGAAGACCGCGTTACCTTCCCCCCCCCCTCCACCCACCCGCACTCCCCCCCTGCCCGGGAAAATCGCGCAAAAGCTCAACTCACCATGGCGCATTCAGACGGACGCACAGACGGGACGGGCTCGCCTGATCTGTGGCTGCCGCCTCCAGTCGAGATTCCGTGCGTTGCGTCCCCCTCCCCGCCTCGGCCTGCTAGCCCAGCCTGGAGCCACCCCCTGGCAAAAATCCCGGCCCCCGACGCCGCGGCTGCCTACAGCTGCAGTCCCTGCCGGAGCCCCGGCAAGGGCACGTGGAGACGCGACTGCGGCAGCACTGAGTGAATGGGGAAAGGAGAGGAGGGGGAACCAGACTCGGACGTCGCCTCTGCTCTCCGCCTCCTACAAGTACCCTTGAGAAAGAGAGCCGCGAGTCCTTCGAAAAGATCTCAGCTCGATTGCGAGTCGCCACTCCAGACGGCTCACTCGGTGCTTTACATTTATTGCCTCAGAGGTAGTTAAGGGGAGTGCCTCTGAGCTTGTGCAGAGCGCACGTTTCTCGGATCAGAGAAAATGTTGGTCCACACTTCCGTGTTCGGGAAATAAGATTAAAAGACCTGCATGTCAGGCGGGTTACATTCTTGCAATTTTTTGAAACCCAAACTTTGTTTTCTCTGTGAAAGAAATATTAAAAAAATGTTCTAAGAAAACCATATCTTTGGAGACTCGGTGTGGTGCAGTAATTAGAGGATTGAATTAGGGGAAGTCAGATCTCCAGCTTGTTGCAGCCAGTTACTGGGCTCTCACAACAACTTAATCTGGTTACTTAATTCATTTCGCAGGTTTCTGCAATGAATCCTAATTTAACTCAAGCCAAACCTAACCATAGTAATTAAAACACCTGAAGTGCACAATACAGCTCCTCTAAAGCAGCAGTCAGGCCTTAATATCAGCTGGTTGTGAGCAAAACTGAGGACAAACTATGATTCTGTTGTTAGGAGCTTACTGTGAATTTAATCTTTCTGGTTTCTAAACTATTGTTAAGAGGTGTGATGTGGAAAAAAAATGTGAATACCAGCAAAACCATTATTTAGATTATTGTATAACAAAACCAGCATCTCTCAGTCTACTCTATTGTATTTTGCAAAGATGTTGGGAGGATATAGCAGGGAGCAGAATTGTATACTCTGTATTTAGTTCTTAGAAGAGAGATGAAATATAAATGTAATCATAAAGAAATGTTCTTAAGTGGAGCTACTTTGAAAATTGCTGGTTCCTGTTGCTTTTAGGTAGTGTTTGAATTACTGTATGCCAGAGGTGGCCGTCTCCTTGGTTACCGTTGTCAGAAGACTGGGCAGTATGTAAAAAAGGACAGGTTACTGCACCTTTAATAGTTGTGTAATAAAAAAATAGGAGCACCTTAACATGCATGCTAAATAAGGTTGATGCCAGAGTGTGCAAGCCAGGATTTACTTCTAAGCAACAAGATGCATGTTGTGAACCATCCACTTAAACAAAAATATAATTTGTCTTCTTTTAAAATACAATATCAACAATATGACCGCTAGCACGATTATTTAATCCTTAATCCCATTTCTCAGTTTCATTACTAAAACTGGACAAATACAGCTAGTCCTTGCGTTACAACATTCATTTAGTGACTGTCCAAAATTACAAAAGCAATAAAGAGGTGACTTATGATTGTTTTTCACATTTATAACTGTTGCAGCATCCCCATGGTCATGTGACCAAAATTCGACCACTTGGCAACTGACTCATATTTATGACAGTTGCAGTGCCCTGGCGTCTTATGATCAGCTTTTGTGAACTTGTGACTGGCAAAGTCAAAGGGAAAGTCAGATTCACTTAAATAATCATATGATTAACTTAACAATTGCATTGATTTACTTAACTGTGTCAAGAAAGGTCCTACAATAGAGCAAAATTCACTTAACAAATGTTTCATTTATCAACAAAAATTTTGGGGTCAATTGTGGTTGTAAATTGAGAACTAGCTAATGTTTGGAGGTACTCTGGGAAGTTGCATCCTTAATTAAATTTCTATTGGGGTCAAAGACTCTTCATCCTACTCAAAGACAGGTAGTCCTCAATTTACAACAGTTCATTTAGTGACTGTTCAAAGTAGTGGTGGGTTGTAGGCGGTACACACCGGTATGGGCATATCAGAGCCTGCCCAGAACACCGGGTACTGTTCCGGTACGGTGCTCTGGAGGGCCCACCCACCTGCCCAAGCTTCTTACCTGTCCTTTAAGCCTTTGGCACTTCCATGCATGCATATGGCGCATACAGCACCTGCGTGATGCTCCGCCAAGCAGCTGGAGGGTTGCAGAGGCGTTGCAAGCAGGTATGATGCATGCGCGCGCCGCTCACATCCATATGAGCGACATCGGGCCCTTTCCAACCATACCGGTTGGAACGGGATCCGGAACCCACCACTGGTTCAAAGTTGCTGAAAAATATGACTTATGACCATTTTTCACTGTTACAACCATTGTAGCATCCCCATAGTCATGTAATTTACATTCGGATGCTTGATTCATATTTATGACTATTGCAGTATCCTGGCATCATATGATCCACTTTGCGACCTTCTGACAAGCAAAGTCAATGGGAAAGCCAGATTCGCTTAACAACTGTGTTATTAGTTTAACAACTTCAGTAATTCATTTAACAAATGTGCCAAGACAAGTCAGAAAATGGGGAAAAACTCAATTAACAAATTTCTTACTTAGCAATAGAAATTTTGGACTCAATTGCCATGGTAAATCAAGGACTATCTGTATTAAGCCTGCCTGCTATACTTCAAATTAGTGGTACTTAAATCTGGGTAAATTATCCAACATTGGGGGGGGGGAATCGGGTGAAATTCAGCAGATTCTGACAGGTTCTGGAGAACCAGCAGCGAAATTTTTGAGTAGTTTGGAGAACCAGTAAACATCACCTTTGGATGGCCCCAGAATGGGGTGGGAATAGAGATTTTGCAATATCCTTTCTCCAAGAGTAGAGAGGGAATGGGGATTTTTCAGTATCCTTCCCCTGGAGTGGGGTAAGAATGGAGATTTTGCAGTATCCTTCCCCTGCCATGCCCACTAAGCCACGCCCACAGAACCGGTAGTAAAAAAAATATGAATTTCACTATTGGGAATTATTTCCTTTGGGTAATCACACTCAAACTGATTACCTAATCACAACATTTAACATTTAAACTGACTTAAATATTTTATTTAATCTTCATTGGGTAAAAAAGAGATAGTTAGTTTTGGACAATGAAGGGAAGCAGGGATTCCCAGAGAGCTATCAGGAACCAGGGGTAGGGGGAAGTCGACCAGATAGTTGGCTTGTTCACTAGTTGCTTACTCATAACTCTGCACATGCCAAGAGGCAGCTGGATAAGACCATGATTTAGTTGTAAAGGGTCTTTAAAAATGGAAGGGATGGGAAGAAATGCACAAATACAATCATAATCCTTACTTATTGGGGTGGGGAGACCCTTAAAGGCAAAAAAATGCGTGGGATGGTGTTTAATTGGCTGGAGCCCACCTTTGTTGAATGTTTGTTTAGACCAGAGGTGTCCAACACACATCATCACGGTAGTGTCATGTGACTTATCACAACTTTTTCTCCCCTTCACTAAGCATGGGTGTGGGCATGGCCAGCGTGTAAAGATATCTGGGCCATGAGTTTGACAGCCCTGATTTAGACCATGGTTAAGGATGTTTGATATATGTTACACCATGGTTAAGTGGCTTTATTGAACCTTTACAAATCCCCAATCATATTTGATGTATTTATACCAGAACTATTAATATCTAGGTGACATACAAAGCATCAATCCTGAAGGACGAAGGCAGGGGGTTTCATTAAACCAGGCATTTTGTCCTAATGGTTGCTAGCTGCCTTTCTCCAGATTGTCCATTAAATTTATTTATTTTTGTTTGTCCTGAATATTTGACAATTATATTTCCTCTGAAGATGGAAGATGATTTAGAAAAGGTATAACAAGTGCAGAAGGATTTAAGAGAGGAAAAAAGAGATAAAATTCCAAAATTGGCTTCTAATGTGTTATTTATTATTATCCAATAAAGTAAATTAACTTCTGCAACAGTTTTTAATCTTTTTAAACTTTCTGGGTTTGCCAATGCAGAATCACAGCTAACCTACCTAGCTATGGGATAAATAGTACACGTTCTAAATTAACTTTTGTTCTCCAATTTCTAGTAATGAACTGCTGGGCCACACACAGACATTCTAATACAGACTAGCACTGTTTCAGTATATGTCAATAGGAGGAATAGGAGGGCTACTTTTTTTTCAAGGTTTTTCTTTTAGTGTCTGTTTGGATTCCAGGAAAAAAAAAAAAAAAGCAAACTAACTAAACTTTCCAGCCTATTTGGTTCCAGCTGGGCTAAGCCTGAAATGAAAGGAGGACAGGGTGGAATAAGGAGTTTTAGACTCAAGAAGCTGGCAGTTGCAGAGAAAGTCAAATGACTTTGCTTTCATCAGCTTCCAGACTTTCAGCCAGAAGAACGAATAAGTTTAAGGAGTATTATTTTTTATTAAAATCCTATAGTCAGGAAAAGCAGACTGTGAGGTAAAGCCAGCTTTCTGCCAACTCAGTTGGGCCTCCTAGCCTCCCCCTTCCCCCTTCCTACAGCCCCTTCTTGCCTGCCCACTCATTTCCTGCCAGTGTCATGTAGCCCCTTGTGTATGTAGGCTCTGCATTGAGGTTTTTGCCTTGGTTCCCCTTTTAAACATTGATTCCCTGCTGCTTAGCTCCCCGTCACCTCCATCCCTGTAGGCTGGTGCCTCTTACATCCATCCTTCCCTTAGTTTAATCACAAGGAATACAGAAGAAGCTGTTTCTGCAAACAGCATGAATAACAGGGTACATGAAACTCACATTGCCAGGTCCTAAATATGATTACTGTCATTATGGGTTATAGAAATGTAATGCACGCTCAATTTTTTGTTATTGTTGTTATCTTATTTATTTATTTTTTGCTCGTCTTCCCTTCCAAGAGGATAAGTTAATTCTGCTTAATTTGCACTTTGGATGTTGGCTGTATTCATATTTCCACTTGCTATTCACTGCTTACTTTAGTAACATTTGTTTTGAAAGGAAAAAAAGAACTAATCCAATATTTTTTTCCTTACAGTGGAATCCAGGGTAG